ACTTCCAAATGCAGTAATGTTGGTTAGGCTATTTCTGTGGGATTAACAATGGATGGAACTGTGGCATCTTAGAGCCACAGGGTTAAGGGGCAGTAGTTCTAATGTCACCCTCTCCATGTTCTCACAGCACTGTTCGATCAGCCTTCATTCACAAACGGTCTTCAAAAATGTCTCCTTTGTCCAGTACCAGTGGTCCCGTAACTATCATTTTTATAGCCGAAAAAACATATGCTGTTTCATTGCCTCACACTCATGAATATCCCCGACAGTATATCCACGAGAGTCCAAATTATACTATAATTTTTAACTTCAAAACTAACGTGACGAGAATTGCTGAGAATTTCCTGAGAATGTGATAGCAGCAGTGGCTTGCTGAGGTCAGAATTATGGCTTCACATGCAAAAGAACCAGGTTCAAATCCTCAGAAAGTTGATGGACATTTCTGTATGTCTTGGAATAAAATAAAAATCCCAACATACACAACCTGTGGTGACGGCCCTAGCCATGAGGCCATAAATCCTCAGTGTTTAGACCCCATGACCTTCATTACCCTAAAAAATGTTCAATACAAGAAGCTAGACAGTTTTTTTGCCAATGTAACAAGTTAACATTATTTAACTTTACTGTTTGAAGCCATAATTTCCTATTTCTTTCAAATCAGAATTACACAATGTTCTTTATACACTGTTAGTGGTGAACATAGCATGCTTTAAAGACAAAATACAATTGCACTATGGCAGATAAGTGTTTGAAAGGACCGAACATAAGACATGTCTGTGTGCCCAATTTGTGACCCTTGGAAAATAAAGTTTGTTCGTTTTTTTCTGTTTGGTCTTGTTTGTTTGTAAAGGCTAGCGTGACTGCAAGGAATGTACACAAAGGGAATGCCGTTAGTTTATCACATTAAATAAATATATTTTAAATGTATGGTTAGTGCTAAAAAACTAAACTGCATCAAGAAACAAAAGATCAAATGGTATGGACAGGTCTCAAGCATATTGCCAGATAGTGCACCATAGATAGCCCTGTCACTCAAACATATTGGAAGCATAACTAGAGGTCAAGCACGCAAGTGATGGATAGATGCCAGGCATAAATACCAGCAGTTACATAGCACATACCAATGCTAGCCTCTGATGCCTCTTCAAAACTTGATGCTGAAAGGCAGAACAGGACTAAAGAGAAGGAAGAAGAAGAATACTAAATATTCGTGTGTTTTTTCCAGGGTGCTGTCTCCACAATGAAGGATGGCTGCAGTAGATATGTGCATCCATTACCGTCTTTGCGTAAGGCTGTGGTCTCTTTCATCATGTGACTCTTACAGTACTGACCAAAAGTCATAACTGCCTTAAATATTACATAAGATGCTACATAAGTCTGTATTGTAAATGTAATTAAAAAACAAAGTAAGGTACACATGACCTGAGCATTGAGGAGAACTGGCTCATAAACAGCATCCTGTCCCAAAAAGCTGAGATATCCTAAATATGTAAAACGGTATGGTGGCCTGAGGAGAACAGTGATGGAGGCTAGTTTTTGTGTGTGTGCGGAAAATAAGGGCAAGGCAGACCTCTAAGAAGGTGGATACAAAACGCTAAAGATGCACTGGCTTTGAAAGGATATAGGGCTGAAGAACTGGGTGGAGAAAAAAAGATGGTGTGCTGTGATGACAGAGATGTTCTGTAAAGGACCTGCTGACTAGTGATGATGATGGTAAACAGTTTACCAGGCGGCAAAACTGGAAAATGACCAGGTGGTTTTCTGGCATGCCACGATAAGAGCCATGTTCTGCAAAGGACCTGCTACATACTTTTGAACATGATGACAATCCATAGAGAAATGACAAAGTCAATCACATAGTGATACTGATCACTCTACAGCACAATTCATTTTAAGTTGGCTGATATGCTAGTCTTTTCCTTGCACCTTGTACCCTATCCTACAATAACTTTAATCTGGTTGTTGCAGTTCTAACTTTATAACATTACAAACGGGTACCTCAAAGTTGCTCCATTCTGGTGCCACTGAAAACCACACAGAGTGTCCATCACTGTCACCTGTGAAAAAACTGACACAGACTGCTGGTGAAAAAATCCAGACAATACTCCTCACTTGTGTCCTCTGCAGCGAGGCATGCCACTCTGCACGAAGCATGCCTGTCCTAATCTTCCTCAGACAAAAACAGTAAACCTGCCTAACCATCATAATGACCAAAAGTTTTAATTGATTAAATCCTCTTTCTTCTTATGCATTCATTTGAAGATGTATATACTTTACGCCTGATTACAACTGGCTGCAATATTTGCCCCATTCGACTGGCATATCTGACTTTTGCCCGCATTTATTGCCTGTGTAAGCCTTCCCAGTATCCCAACTGTTAATTTGGTACCTTTTGGCCCATTGCGTTATTATTCTCACGCCTGAAGGGAATCTTTAAGTAACTATTGCTAAGGAAAATGGCGATTTATAGAAACACACCTGAGACTCAAAGAATTAAAGACTGTAACTGACAGGCGCCTCCAGCATACTGTATTTAACAATGCCTTCTGTAATTGTTACAAATATTTAGGAAAAAAGGGGGTTTAGTTAGAGGCATTTGTGGATAAGTGTGACTATCCTGACTGCTGTCATGTCGGTTGTTACCTCAACCCTTAACTCAGAACCATACATGTGGAGAACTGTATTGCACATCAAGTATTGCAAACAAAACCATTCCAACAGACAGTAAGATGATATGAGTCTGTTCATACTAGTTTTATAGATATGAATCTGTTCATACTAGTTTCATAGATATGAATCTGCTCATACTAGTTTTATAGATATGAATCTGTTTACATTAGTTTCTTATAACATACTGACATATATTGCATGCAACCTACACATCAGCCACAATTTTATAATACAAAAACCTAGGACTGCAGTAAAAATATAAAAACATTTTAACATTTTAAAAAAAGTACGTAAATTTTCTGCCAGTGATGAATGCAAAAAAGAAAAAGTTTCATTCACTGTAACTACAGTTCCACAAGGTTATTAAAAATGTGGGAACAGTGTGAGATGGTACAGATTTCCCAGCAGAGATTTCTTAGGTAATACTTTACATTGGGAAGTTGAACTTGGAACAACCCAACAGCTAAACCTGTCAACCAACCACAATGCTAAAATGTTGGTAAGCCTCATATTTGATGGAGTAAAGGACCCTTTTCCACCCCTTCAGGTGTATTGGGTATATAGGGCCAGACCTATATTTTATAGACTAATCTGGCACTCGGTGGGTGATGTGGTCATCATCAAGCAGGCTGCCTTTACTTCCTAGGACTGTACGTGGTATCCACTCAAGGCCTGGGTCGACCTAGGAGTCAAGGTCATTTTCAATAAAGTCCAGGACGCAAATCCATGACCTTCCAATCCGCAGGTGAGCGTCTAGCCACTTAATCATGGCGGCTCCCAATTTGATGGGGTAGAACAATCTATTTCATTCTTCTGCGGTCTCTGGTCATCCACTGCAGGCCATAAGCTGAGATATCAGCTTGAGGTCTCCTAGTTTCCCCACTGCTTAGTGGATGGTTCTTGATGTTTTGCGATGTTGGATTTCTCCTCGATAGATCTCAACCAAAGAGTTCATATTTAGAGAGCCAGCTGCATCATAAAACAGAAGGCCAATGTTTAGAAATGTTGAAAGTTTCTACACCTGATCTCTTAAGTAAAGTAAATGATTCCTTTCCATGCCTTCAGACGCATCCGACAAAAAGTCCTAGACCTTTATTTTATAGACCAATCTGGCACTCTGTGGGTGATGTGGTCAACATCATGCCAACTGCCTTTACTTCCCAGTACTTTACCTGGTACCCATTTAAAGCTGGGAACCAAGTTTTTTTTTTAAGATTCTGGTTCTGTCAGGACCTGAACTTACAACCTTTGGAACAGCAGGCAAGAGTATAGCTGCTACACCATGACAGCCCCCTGAGTCTGATAAATTATGAAGAAGGAACATATTCTAAAAGGCTGATGTTTTTCATTAGATCTGTACAGAATTACAGCCTATTATATCTAATGAGCTTGATGTTTGTAACATCTATGTTCTAATTAGATCTCTATAGAGTTGCAGCGTAATGATATTTGATGAAGCAGGAACTTCAACATTAAAAAATGTCCAATGTATCTTCAATATATGTACAAGTATTTCATATTTAGCCTGATCTTTGATGCAGCAAGAATATCCATTCTGAAATGTTGAATATATCCTCATAACTTTTTTACAGAACTCGTTTGGTCAGCTTGATATCTGATGAAGCATGAACATCTATTACCATTGAGTTTTCTTCAGTAGATATCTAGCTACAGAATCACAGCCTACCATATTTGGTGAGTCTGAAGTTTCAGGGATATTTATGTTCTGAATTGCTGAGTGTGCCCTCACTAGATTTCTACAGAAGAGCCCATAATCAGTGAGCAGGAACATAAACACTCCAAATTATGAACATTTCCAACTTAGATCTATAGAGAATCACAGTATACCATACTTGGTGAGTCCAACACGTGATGCAGTAGGAACATAAACACTCTAAAATGTTGAACATTTCCAACTTAGATCTATAGAGAATCACAGTATACCATACTTGGTGAGTCCAACACGTGATGCAGCAGGAACATAAACACTCTCAGATGTTAAACAGTTCCTCTTTAGATTCTCTAGAGAATCACAGTATACCACACTTGGTGAGTCCAACACGTGATGCAGCAGGAACATAAACACTCTCAGATGTTAAACAGTTCCTCTTTAGATTCTCTAGAGAATCACAGTATACCACACTTGGAGAGATTAAAATGTAATGCAGCAGGAAAAAAAAAAGATCAAACCCAATTTTCCCACCTCAATGAACCAGGAGATGAAATTACTGTTTTATGAAATGTTCAGAAATTTCAAATCATGCACCCGAGCATATAGCAGTCATTAAATAATAAATATTTTACAGAGCTGAATACTAAAACCAATAGCGCTAGCTTTTCACAGCTATGAGAATGACTAGAAGAACAATGATCACAGCAGCTAGCACTAGTATACACATCATCTTGCGGTTCTTTTTCTGATATTTCTCCGCTGCCTGCAGCTGGGCCAGCCCCTTTTCCGTATGAGTAGCTGCATTATCAATGTTGTAGTCTATACGGTCCAGGATTGTGCCCTAGAGGATGCAAGAATAAACAGCTGAAAATCAATATTAATAAAACATGTTACAATTTGCCATCATTCTGCATAATGTTGAGCAGTGCGAACACTCTTTGTATCCCCCACTCAGATAAGGCTCATCAGCACTAGAGTGCAGCCCAACATGCAGATGAAAAACTCTGATCTTAAACTGCCACGCCTTGCTGCAATACCCGATTCAGGGAAAGCACTTTGGAGGAAAATCCTGAGGGGGAAATCCGGAGCTGGAATCCCTAAGGCAGTTCAGCAGTGTTCACATGGCTGCTCCGGCAATTTCTGCAACGTCTTCAGTGCCAAGCTGTACTGGCACTTGCCCTTGGTATCACTGGCAAAGTAGAGAGGGGGGGTACCTGCTGCCTCAGCAACATCCTGTACTCGAATCCAACATGCCCAGGCCTGTGCCCTGAAGGGGCTACTCCAGCGCCGCTTCAAAGCTTCGACTGCCACTCCCACATTTGACTTTACAGTCACAGCAGACACTGTCCCCAAAATCCGGTGGCATAGCTACATCTATCCCCAACTGCAGCATAGGTCCTCAACCGGCTGACACCAAGACTTCCTACCTGTCAAAATCTTGTGTAAGCTACTCCATGTTCTCCTCATCTTATTCACTTTTGTTTCTCATTCTGTTTTCAGTGTATTTTTCTTGGCTCTGGTCTCTCTTTATTTCTTTGACCATGTGGGTTCCAGTGTACTGGCTATACTTTTTTTTATGTTTTCCCAACATGTGTCCTATCCAACACCAGCGTCTTTTCCTCACCTCTTGATTGACTAAAATTTATTTAGCCATATCTTAAAGTCCAAAAGCAATCAAACTCTTGATTCCCTGTGTGGGATCCAGGGCCCTATTTTGGGGTGTTTGGTGGGGTCTCTAAGTCTGAGGATTCAGGGCCACATGGCTAGTGCAGTCACACATCCCCCCCCCCCCCCCAACAGCTTTAGATTTTATTTTTGCCCCTCAACAGAAAACCCGTGATAAAATTACTGATATCTACATTTGCTTTTGTTTCTTTGCTTGTTTAGCTGTCAGGTGGGTCAAGGCACGAGTTCTTTTGTTCCGATGGACCGCGGATGTAAAAAACCAAGGAACCCTGCTGTAAAGGACATGCAACTAGCTTAAAATAAACGACATAAGAGACATTCTAGGATGTCTGGCTTCTTAAGTATGCTCTGACCAAATGTAAAAAAAAATACTGGGTGATATCTGTAGCAATGGACCATTAGGACCCAGAATGCTGACGAAGAAGAAGCTATATAGATGCATCGGCAAATTACTACAATTATTTTTTTTTTCAAACCCACAAACATAAAACAATGTCTAATATTATGGATTTAATACTTTCCTGTGTGGGTTCCAACCCTACACAAAATTTGCGGAAGCAGAAACAATTACCACAGCATGCCCATCAGAAATAACCAAGGCAAACTGCTTACCACAGAGCACAAACAAAACATGCAGTGGACTCAACACTTCTCTAACCTCTTGAAAGGACCTGATGCTGAACATCCCCAGATATTCAACCAGCCTCTCAGGACCTTGACATTATTATTAAACCACCGAGCAAACAAGAAATCCTTAAAACTTTCCATTCTTTAAAGAACAACAAAGCACCAGGCAAAGACAAACTGCCAGCAGAACTGCTCAAAGTAGATCCCAACACAACTGCAAGCCTTCATTGTGCCACCAGGCATAAAGAGAACTGATGATGATGTGTAGGTTTCGGGGCTCCATCATGGGGGGAGAGACAAAAATAGACTGTCCCTCTAACAAACAATGTAAGAAGAGTCAACTAATTAGGGGTGTTTCCTTCGAAGATAAAGTGATCTGCCCAAGAGGTCAGGAACCAACGGTCTGTAAGCAAATAAGCCAGATCTGTCAAACGAATGTTCATGCCAAATTCAAATTCTGGAAGAAAACTAACATCCAAAAGTGGATACGTGGCTGGAACTTTCTGCCAGAGTTTACAACCAGTGAACATGAAGAAGAAGATTTTCTATTTTAAAGTGAGAAATTTATATTTAAAAAAATGTGTAAAGATACAAAACCTGATCTACAATCATGGAAGCCATGTCTTTGAATATTTCATTCAGGTCTGTGATAGAACGGACAATGGAAGCCACTTCTTTCTCTCTGTGCTGGACCAGTTCTGTATTGTCTTCTACAATCTGCATCTGTACAGTTGTGAATCCCTGCAAGAGTTTCAGACAATATTAATATAATTCAGACAATAAACCTGGTATAATCAGAGACTAGATAAACAAAGAAAAGGACCAGTGAGATGGCTGGCACCTTTCTGTCTTTCCAGATGACAAGTCTTCCCCTGTGCTACAAAGAGGCATTAGAATCAAAACCCATGGTAATTTCAAGTGCCACTAGCAAGACCCACTCGTGTTCAGAAAAATCTTCCACAATAAATATACGTCGTTTCAGAACTGATGTTGCTATCACCCTGTCTGCTACCTTTTTCTCTTTTATTCCTATTCCCTTTGTAATTTTCCCTGTCTAAGCACTGCATCCATTGTCGACCAGTTCAAGTTAATCTGCCCCGATATTATCCTGTATTATCCAAGTCCTGCTAAAGAAATGGACTAGAAAATAAGCAACTATATGCTTGTAGGGGTCATTTGAAAAGTTTGTTCCCAATAAAGTTTTAAAAACGGATACATACTGCTAAAAAAACGGCCACTTTTCACTGCACATTACACACAATACAGTGACATAAAAATAAAGAACAACAAATGATTTCACTAGTAAGACAAAATCAGTGTCAATGGTCTTACCTCCCTTTCTGACAATTCAGAATGATGAAACAAAAGTTAGCATTATTCAGAATCGAGTATGTCCACCAAAAGCGTGAATGCATTCACCGCACCTTTGCTTCATTGTTAAGACAAGAGTTCTCAAGAGGCATTTGTGGGATCGCTTGCCAATCCTACTCCAGCAAGAGGAGCAACTGAGTGAGATTCAGAGGCAGGTGAATCATTTTCTTCAACGTCCTAGCACATTCCATCAGACTGAGATCAGGAGACAAAGCTGACCAGTCTAAGAGGGTGACATGCTGCTGTTGTAGGAAGTCATTTAAGACCCCAGCTACGTGTGGTCGGGAACTGTCGTCCTGTAGGACAGAATCAGGTCCTACAGCCTAAGTGCCGTAAGAGCATGCAGCTCTTAATTTCGCCCCAAACCATTACTGCTCCACCTCCACAGCGATTATATTCAAGGATAATGGCATCATGAAAGTATTTCTGTTTAAACAACGGACTAACATAATTTTACAAGGGTGGTAACCCATAAGTGCTCCGTTCTACTTCTAACTCAAGCCCTAGTCTGAAGAATCTCAGCACACTGCACGAACTCCGTAGCACCAGCAAGGTTCCTGAAACACCTTGGGTACATTTTAACTCCAAATTTTGCCCGGGCAGCGCCATTAGGCTATTATTTTTTATTCCCAACTACCTCGGGATTTTTTTTTACGTGGGCAGTAATACACACAGGCATCCAATCTTACTACCCACAGACCAGGAGAAATTACTAGAATTTCACGAGAAAAAAATCCCAGCCTTTATCAGAGCCTGAACTGGGACCTCCAGCACTCCAGGTGGACGCCATGCCTCGAGACCACTCAGCCCCTGATGATATCGTTTTCTTGCATTTTTCCAGGAACGATTTCTGTCATGTCACATGTGAACAGAACTCTGCTCCACTGATGTCTTGTCACATGACTTTGAACCCAAGCCAGACAGGCTGTGTGATGAGTTGGAGCCAGGACAGGTTGGATGATAGGCCTGCAGATCTGCATCTCTCAGTTGGTTTCATATGATTTAGTCACTGAGATTACACTGGTGACAGCTCGTAGTTGTATCCTGATGGCACTGCAGAAGTGATTGTTGTTTGTCTGTCTGAGAGTTAATGCAACAATAAATGTGTCTTGCCGTCTTGTGGCAGACCTTAAACCCCCTGACCTAGGTTGTTTTGTGACACTGTCGGTCGCACTATAACAATCAGGCAGTTTATATGATAGAGTGGGCAACTCCTAACCTAACACTAAAGTCTCCCAGCACCACATCATCCTGCAGCCATGTTATCGCTCTCCATCTGTCAGCATGGGCCAAGCATCTTTGTTGAGCCATGGTTAAAATGGTAAATGTTACAAACATATTCATTGCTTGCCCTTCCGAAAAATGTGTGACGACCAGTTCACTGTAGTCATGAATTGCACGTGAAAAGCAAATTTCAGCAGGTATTAAAAGACTTTGCCACAAAATGCTTTTTCAAACATGCATTATTTCCCTTTCCACCACGTACATTTGATTGAACTTAGAGGTACACACATATAAATCAGATTTGATTTACTGTCAGAGTAACAAACATTGAATAAGTATGCAAAATCAATGCAGCAAAACATGGTTGGCTGTATGTTTAGGATCTATTAAAAAAAAACATAGCTCAGTTGAAATGGCCTAAAAAATGAAAGTGGCCTTTCAATCTTTTTTGAAAAGAATGTGTCTTAAGGTAAATAGCAAAAAAAGACAATGGAATAGGAATTTCAAAACTGCATTCAACAGTGACCTGTGGATATTAATACTTGAAGACATTTAAAAAAAAACAAAGCTTAGTAAATAATGCAGTGTTAGATATTTGTAAACAAAGTAATACCTTATCATACATAATATCAGATTCTGTTGCTATTCCATCCCTGAGCAGGTTAGTCTCTTCACTGACGTGGGTGCCAAAATACTGCTGGGACCTTTCTTCTCTGCTCTTAATTTCTTGAAATAACAGAATTGAAAATAGTAAATAATCTCAAACAGTAGAACATTTGCGAAATACATTCTACAAGTTATAAAATCACAGTTAAACAGAGTGCACACACATAACAGTTGCTGTCTGTGGCATAGGTGCTGCGAATGAGCTAATGACTTTATGTCTTCATATGCCCAGGACAAGGGGTTTGTGTGGTCTTTCAAAACCAGTCAACAGTGACTGTATGTTTTCAAATCCTCATGATAGGGGATTGCATAGTCTTTCCAAACCAGTCAATAATGACTTTACGTCTTCATATCCCCAGGATACTACTGTGTTTAGTCCCTTAGCCCTGGCAACCCTTTAAGGTAAAATCTACAAACTTGGGAATCCTCTCCCCTCCTTTACATAGACCCCCCCCCCCCCCCTCCTCCACACACACATACACACAGGTCACTGAAATATTATTTAAACAATTTTTTTTTAATTATGTTTAAAATTTATTTATTACCCAAATTAAGTGCTTTATGTGGCCCATGAGGGCTGGGTCTGAGGTTAAAATAATAAAATTATGGAAGAGAAGGAATTCACTAGCAAATATGGATATAAATTAGTTAATATAACAAATGTCTGTAACAAACAAACAAAAAGTTAGAAAAGTACGTTTTCTTCATTTTAACCTTTTATATTACCCAAGTACTGAATGAGTCGAAGAACTTACTTCTCAAATATGCTGACTGGCTTTTTCTGAAGTTTGAGGACATTTCCTGCAAGGTACGAGCAAGAGATGCCACAATGTTGTGAGACAATTTCCTTTCATCTAATGAACCCCTACTGCTTTGGTTATTGATCTGTTGGACTAGACGCTGGCAGTGGGAAAACACCTGCAGTGTGGACAGAGAATGTGAGAACAGTTAGCTCTTTTCAATGGACTCAGGGCCTGTGATAGTACACACACATAAACACTCATTCAGCTTTTATAGTGTGGGCCAAAAGGTTGAGATACCCCATAGTAAAGTTCCGATCCCCTTTTCCCACGCCTTTAGGCATATTGGGAATATAGGGCTAGACCTATATTTTTATGGACCAATCGGTGCTTGGTGGGTGATGTGGTCAGCATCACGCCAGCCGCCTTTACTTCCCAAGACTGCACCTGGTACCCAAGCAAAGCTGGGTCGATCTGGAAGTCAATGTCATTTTTTTTTAAAGTGCGGCTGTCAGGACGCAAACCCAATCCGCAGGCTGGCGTCAAGCCGCCAGTGACAAGGCGACTACCTCCACCTAATAGTAAATAACTGATATCTCCATACCATTATGGAGTACTGCATGAACTGCTTACAGAGCAGACTAGTGATTGCAATGATTGCCTTCAATAAGCTATAAAAATCACTGAATGCATAACTGTATACTCATATGGAAATATCACAGTTATTTATTTACCAGGTGGTTCTAATCTTTTGACCACCACTGTATATATACATCACATTAGTTTGAAGGTTTGAATCTTTCCCTCTCTTTCCCTCCAACTTCCCAGTTGTCGAGATATACTCAAGCTTCCCTTCCCACTATGTGAACAAAGACCAGTTGTCGAGATATACTCCAGCTTCCCTTCCTACTATGTGACCAAAGACCAGTTGTCGAGATATACTTCAGCTTCCCTTCCCACTATGTGACCAAAGACCAGTTGTCGAGAGAGATATATATGGTAATTTCACCCCAACGAGTGTGGTTAAGCAGCGGACATTTAAACCTTTTGTATCATAAAGAAGGATCTCAAAGCATAAGACCTCTAAACCTTTGCTGTCATATGGCAGGACACTTGACAGATGGACATTTTATCCTAAGTAGCCACACAGACCTGGTCAACAGATGAACCAAGGTTTGTTATCTAGTAGGATACTCAGCCAGCGGACTTCAGACATGTTCCAAATGAGTTTTTGATAGACATTATCAGCCATGCATTGGGCGTGGGCTGATGAATTCCAGGGGATTTCTGGACACTGCATCTCTGGAGGCCACCAGCTCTAAGATCCCCTGTCAGCTCCATTAAGGCCCATATAGGCCATTATCCAGGGCGCAAGATCAGGAGATATGGCAGGAGTCTTGCAGGAGAATCTGTTTAAAAAAAAGCCTTAATGTTTCCTCACGACTGTGGCCGAAATCACCTCACAACTTTGTAACATTCAATTTCCACAACCCATAGCGCTAAAGATCGACTGCAGCCACCCTTCACTGTGGAGATGGCACCTGATCGATTGGACTGAATATCCTGAAAGAACAGACTGAAATGACATGTGGCATAACAAGACAAACACCTCACACCTGGGTAATCTGTTGAGTCCTAATTTCAATCTCATGCTCCTCATCCACACTGTCGTCCATAGTTGGCCGGTTCAGATGCCTGTCATGTAAGGATGATAGCTCTTTCACTAGAGAAAAACAATGGACCAATTCAAAGTATAGTTGAACATATTATAGGAAATAGAGAAAAACAATGGACCAATTCAAAGTATAGTTGAACATATTATAGGAAATAGAGAAAAACAATGGACCAATTCAAAGTACAGTTGAACATATTATAGGAAATAGAGAAAAACAATAAATCAAGTCAAAGCATAGTTGAACATATTATAGGAAATAGAGAAAAACAATGGACCAATTCAAAGTATAGTTGAACATATTATAGGAAATAAAGAAAAACAATTGACCAATTCAAAGTATAGTTGAACATATTATAGGAAATAGAGAAAAACAATGGACCAATTCAAAGTATAGTTGAACATATTATAGGAAATAGAGAAAAACAATGGACCAATTCAAAGTATAGTTGAACATATTATAGGAAATAGAGAAAAACAATGGACCAATTCAAAGTATAGTTGAACATATTATAGGAAATAAAGAAAAACAATGGACCAATTCAAAGTATAGTTGAACATATTATAGGAAATAGAGAAAAACAATAAATCAAGTCAAAGCATAGTTGAACATATTATAGGAAATAGAGAAAAACAATAAACCAAGTCAAAGCATAGTTGAACATATTATAGGAAATAGAGAAAAACAATAAACCAAGTCAAAGCATAGTTGAACATATTATAGGAAATAGAGAAAAACAATGGACCAATTCAAAGCATAGTTGAACATATTATAGGAAATAGAGAAAAACAATGGACCAATTCAAAGTACAGTTGAACATATTATAGGAAATAGAGAAAAACAATGGACCAATTCAAAGTATAGTTGAACATATTATAGGAAATAAAGAAAAACAATTGACCAATTCAAAGTACAGTTGAACATATTATAGGAAATAGAGAAAAACAATGGACCAATTCAAAGTATAGTTGAACATATTATAGGAAATAGAGAAAAACAATGGACCAATTCAAAGTATAGTTGAACATATTATAGGAAATAGAGAAAAACAATAAATCAAGTCAAAGCATAGTTGAACATATTATAGGAAATAGAGAAAAACAATGGACCAATTCAAAGCACAGTTAAATCTATTATAGAAATAGAAAAAAAAAAACAAAGCACCAAGTCAAAGCACAGTTGAAATTTTTATAGGAAATAAAGAAAAACAAGGCATGAAGTCAAAGCACAGTTGAACTTATATCAAATAAGAACAATTCTGTCGGTTCTGACATAATCACATCATTGCGTGTGGTATATGGCTTTCTTCTTGTCTCTACTTGCCTGAATGCCTACGGCAACTCTTTTTGACCAACCCATGGTGCTGAATTAATTCAAAATTAATGCTTTGTTCAAGTCTGCCATACTTGATGTTTCTTTCATGCTTTTGTAATAAAGTCACTGGAACCAGTTTCAAATGAACACTATTTACACTAACAAGTTGCTTTTGTATCCTTTGAAGGATGTTGCAAAACCAACTTAGCAAACCCCCTGCCTCTTCCCGTTAGTGATTTTACTAGGCAATTTTACGTTTCATAGTTTGCCATTACTCTATGAACGATCAGCACTCCAAACCACTGTGGATGTCAAAACAAAGTAGTTTTGCCGCCAAAACGGCTGCAGCTAGAATCAAACCGGGCATTTAGGAATTCTGATAAGTGTTTTGCAATACCCATGCTGCAGATACAGACAAATATGCATATGAACAGTGGAATGGCTGCCTAGCTACATCTACCTGGGACAAACTATGACAGAAGCTGACACATGCAACATTATAATTACAACAACAAACGACAGAGTGACTATTCAACAACACGAGACATGTACTTTACAATAAATATAACAGAAACAGAAGCTCATCAGATGCAACATTCCCTATGTGGATTTCTTCATTCATTTTTACGATAATTAAGAACAGACCCACTGCCTATTAAGAAGCATGTCACAAAAGACAACCGAAACCTTAGTTAAGGGTTTGTTGACTTGTAAACCATTGGGCTGAAAGGAGCAGATATCACAGCCTAGCTGTAGACCTAAATACAACATGCAACCACCCTTCTAAGGGCAAACACAGAAGAAGGAAAAGAAGGAATAGTTTGTCGACTTGTAAACGGGCTGAAAGGAGCAGATTTCGCAGACTAGCTGCAAACCTAAACACAACATTCCAAACACCTTTTTAAGGGTTAACACAGAAGAAGAAGAAGAAGAAGAAGGAGAAGGAGGAGGAGGAGGAGGAGGAGGAGAAAGAGGTGGAGGATGAGAAGAAGAAGAAGAAAAAGGAATGCAACAAGTATACCAACAACTGCATGAAATAGGAATATGGATCCTAACTAAATAGAATTAAGTACAAAACGATTTGGAAATGTGGATTTTTTAGAGATGTGGATGAGTTTCTCAAATGAAATTAAACCAGCAAACAAAAATATCATAGAAACTCCCCCTCCCCCATCGCACCCCCCCCCCCAGATTAAACTATCCTAAAAAAAACATGGTGCCGGGGGGAAAAAAGAGTATATAAAATGCATGGTACTTTGGTCACTTCAAATGGCATAATAATCTCTTCAAACTATAACAGGTAGAAAATTAGCTGAAAGAATTATAGGGCATTCAAGATATCAGTAGACAGACAAAATCCAAACCTAGGCACAGTAGTCTAGTAAAACACTACTATTATAATGAAAATATAGTACTTACTTTTCTCTTTAATTTTTGTAAATTCAAACTGAATTTCTGTGAGTTTATCAATCCTGAAACACAGTACAAACATACCTGTCACAGATACAAAATCCAAACGGTGATTCAGCTGCTATTTCAGTTCATGACTAAAGAACACTAATAAGCATCTACAGTGCCATCAAGTACGTTGGCAACTGCTGTGAACAACAGTCATGCATCTGCACAACTTGAAGTATCCAACAGCATGTTACTGTTCACATGTTGACACCATCCTGCGCCATGACACATTAGTATCCAGAATATCTTCTCACTGTCATCTATATCTCGTTCCATAAACAGCCCAGCTTTCACAAGATGTCTATTTCGTTTTTACTTTTTTCATTCATTCATTCATTCAGTAGCATGTCCCTCGCGGAACCTCGCTGCCATAACAACCCTCCGGAAAACCTTCCTATCATGAGCAAGATGTCCTGCGTCTGATACATCCATCTGGAGATCATCTGCCACATCCTGCACCCATCTTCTCCTTGGCCTTCCTCTTCCTCTCTTCCCAGGCATATACCCCTCCATTATTGTTCTCTCTAGACCTCCATGACGTTTCAAGTGACCAAAATATTTCAATTTTCTTTGTTTTATTGTCTTTACTAGCCAACCCTCTTCAATATTCAGCTCTTGAAGTATGGATGCATTTGTTCTTTTCTTTACCCAAGATATTCTTAGAACCTGTCTGTAACATTTATATTCAAATGCATTTATGCGCTGTTCCGCTTGTTTAGTAAGTGTCCAGGTCTCACAGGCGTATGTTGCAATGGGAAAGATGCATGCTCTTAAAAATCTGACTTTTTTCATAATTCTGCTAAAATACCTGTGTTTGTGATAAGTTGCTTTTGTACTTCATTATCTTTCAAAATATCTAGAATCCCTAACTGACAGTTAAAGTAATGAGTATAATTCTTCTTCTTCACGTTCACCAGCTGTAAACTCTGCCGGAAGGTTCTGGTTGCTCGTCCACTACTGAACTGCAGTCCTGCTCCAGAACCTGAGTGTTGCGTGTGCATCAGTTTTACAGATCTCATTCTCTTGAATACAGACTGTTGGTTCCTTGCCTCTCCGGCAGATGCACTCCGACTTCAAAGGAAGCTTCCCAATTAGTCGACTCTTACGACATGCTTTTGGGGAGTTAGTGGGTCTATTCTTGTTTTCCCCACAATGGGGCCCCGGAACCCACACGGGGGATGAGTATAATGATCATCAAAACCGATATGGTCAAACTATTCCATACAAATTAACACTGGAGTTTACATTCTGCAAAATATTACTGTTCTCTTACTCCCTCGATGTATTGTAAAGGCCAGCATCTGTGGCTTAGGCGTTGCAAACACGCTTTGTAATGCCAGGGTCCTGGGTTCGATCCTAGCTGCGGGCCGTGCGCCTTATGTTCATCTCAACAGAGGTATCTAGAAGCTGACCTTTCAGAAAGTAATGGCAAACTACTGGATGAAAATTTACCCAGAAAAACCAAAGCAGCTAAAAAAATGCTTGGGTTGGTTTTGCAATGTCCTGTAAAGGATGCGCAACTAACTTTTAACTGAAAAGGAGCTGCTAACCGATGATGAGACTTAAATGAGAGTGAAGCAATTTGTCTAAACTAGCTGTAACAGCATAGAAGAGAAGAAATACTGACATCTTGAAAGATCTGAACATCAAGGAAGATTGGCTAATAAACAGCTTCTTGTCTCAGAAGCTGAAATATTTTGGTCATTTCAAGCGCCACGACAGATTGGAAAAAATTATAGCAGAAGGCATGGTACCAGGAAGGAGGGGCAGGGCCGATCGACACGAAGATGGGCACAGGATATAAGTGACTCCTTGAGTATGAAAGTACACGAGGCGGGAGAGCTGGCGAGAGACAGAGTTTCTTTCAGGCAGACCGTGATGAGAGCGAAGTTCTGCAAAGGAACTGCTACATAATGATGATGATGAGCTGTAATAGCTACATTTTGAAAACACGCATCTTCCTTGTGGCAACACATGGCTATTCACCATGGCCCATGTCACTATAATTGAAGAAAACTGTAAATTTCAAGGTTTATACGTGTTTTTAGAATAATATGAATCAAGAGTAAACACAAAGTATACATAAATTAAATGGGATCTGAATACTGAGAAAACAGACTCAAATGTATCAGATATTGGAAACACAAAAATCTCAATGGTTTAGAAAGAACAGCAAAGGAATGCATGTTTTCTGGACAACAAGGATGGGGTCTAACAATATAAAGACAGAGGACATTAATAACTCTTTCAGTCATAAACAAGGCATCATGTTTACTGGATAATCTTCTTCTTTCTTCTTCTGCCTTTCTATCCCCCCTTACTGGATATTCTTCTTCTTTCTTCTTCTGTCTTTCTATCCCCCTTACTGGATATTCTTCTTCTTTCTTCTTCTGCCTTTCTATCCCCCTTACTGGATATTCTTCTTCTTTCTTCTTCTGCCTTTCTATCCGCCTTACTGGATATTCTTCTTCTTTTTTCTTCTGCCTTTCTATCCCCCCCTTACTGGATATTCTTCTTCTTTCTTCTTCTGCCTTTCTATCCCCCCTTACTGGATATTCTTCTTCTTTCTTCTTCTGCCTTTCTATCCCCCTTACTGGATATTCTTCTTCTTTCTTCTTCTGCCTTTCTATCCCCCTTACTGGATATTCTTCTTCTTTCTTCTTCTGCCTTTCTATCCCCCTTACTGGATATTCTTCTTCTTTCTTCTTCTGCCTTTCTATCCCCCTTACTGGATATTCTTCTTCTTTCTTCTTCTGCCTTTCTATCCCCCTTACTGGATATTCTTCTTCTTTCTTCTTCTGCCTTTCTATCCCCCTTACTGGATATTCTTCTTCTTTCTTCTTCTGCCTTTCTATCCCCCTTACTGGATATTCTTCTTCTTTCTTCTTCTGCCTTTCTATCCCCCTTACTGGATATTCTTCTTCTTTCTTCTTCTGCCTTTCTATCCCCCTTACTGGATATTCTTCTTCTTTCTTCTTCTGCCTTTCTATCCCCCTTACTGGATATTCTTCTTCTTTCTTCTTCTGCCTTTCTATCCCCCTTACTGGATATTCTTCTTCTTTCTTCTTCTGCCTTTCTATCCCCCTTACTGGATATTCTTCTTCTTTCTTCTTCTGCCTTTCTATCCCCCTTACTGGATATTCTTCTTCTTTCTTCTTCTGCCTTTCTATCCCCCTTACTGGATATTCTTCTTCTTTCTTCTTCTGCCTTTCTATCCCCCTTACTGGATATTCTTCTTCTTTCTTCTTCTGCCTTTCTATCCCCCTTACTGGATATTCTTCTTCTTTCTTCTTCTGCCTTTCTATCCCCCTTACTGGATATTCTTCTTCTTTCTTCTTCTGCCTTTCTATCCCCCTTACTGGATATTCTTCTTCTTTCTTCTTCTGCCTTTCTATCCCCCTTACTGGATATTACTCATGTGGATATAACACGGATCTAGCCCTTCTGTGTCTTCCTGAGCATACTCACTGAGTCCCTGAGAAAGCATGCACAGGAAAAGGTCTGTGTCTCCAGCCGTGTTATTGCTTTGGTCACTGCCATGTCAGGTAAACTAAAACAATCCGAACAACACAAGTCACCCAGAATGTGCAGTGTATTTGGACCCTGTGGCGGCACTACATCCATGCTTTTGATATCATCAGTTTTGCTCCAATCAGGCTTCAGCTATGAATGTCTGGGACTGAAAGAGTTAAAGACATCCTAAGCAGGAAAATGCACGAGGACTCAAACTCTTTTCAGTGGCTAGGATGAGTACCCGAGTTTTATGCGGCAACGCGACTTGATATGTGACGACTGTAGTCTGTGTGGAGAGGGATATCCGTGATGGTGTCCCAGTTATTATATATTTATATATATATATATTTTCTTCTTCTTCTTCTTCAGCATTCCGAGCCCTTGAGGTTCATTGCTGCAGAAATCACCCACCTCCATTCATCTCTCTGGTTGGCCATCTCTTTCCAGTTGGTGACACCAAGTGTTTGCAGGTCTGTCTGGATATATATACACATACACAACCTGATCCGTGGCTGGATCTTCGCCCCACCTCACCAAGGTGAGAGCAACAGTCTGCAAAAGCTGTGCCACCTGATGGTGATGAGATATGCGAGCAGAACATCAAGTAACTGAGTACACAACAAGCAGGTTTGCAGCCACTACTGCTGTTACTAAATACTGGATTGTTGGTCAAACTATTGCACAGAAATCTCCAGTATAATTCAGCTCACACAGAAGCAAAGCAAAACATTCAGATCTCATTTTTCAACTTCTCATGCAGGAATTAAACCTGGACTAACATGTTGGAAAGCCACTGCCCTACCCTCTACACTACAACTAAGACATAAGCAAGCACAAATAACAATAAAATAATTATTCCAAGTGCACACATAGATCCACAGTGAAACAGTCTGCACCACTAACCATTCTGGAGGTAATGAGCCTGTCCTGGCAGACACCATGCCTAGCTCAGGATCCATGTTAGCACTGGACATCAGCGATGTACGATCATCAGATGTCTGAAAATGGGATTTCATCAAATTAACGTGGGGATCTACCTTTGTCTTCACTCTTCTTTACAGAGAAGTGTGGCGCACCGAGTTGTGCACCTATTGGGTGTCTGTTTTCAGTGTAAACTTATGTAACGTTTGCTTCCTCTAAACAGACTCCATCTAAGGTAACAAGCTCTAAATCTACAGTAGGTTTTCCTAATAATTGTGTCACAGCAGTAACCTAATGGCCTACTCTTTGGGATTTCCAACTTGAAAATCATCATGTAGCAGCAGGTACTTTGCAGAACGTAGCTCTCATCACAGTCTGCCTGAAAGAAATTCGGTCTCTTGCCAGTTCTCCCGCCTCATGTACTTTCATACTCAAGGCGTCACTTATATCCTGTTCCCATATTCGTGTCGGTCGGCCCCTGCCCCTCCTTCCTGGTAACATACCTTCTGCTATAATTTTGTCCAATCCATCGTGGCGCTTGATATGACCAAAATATTTCAGCTTCCGAGAAAGTAATGTCAGCAGGTATCAATTTTAATTACATTCTACAAGCAGCTTATTAGACTGAGTAGGGTCTCGGACATTGCACAATATCTCATAATAAACTGGAGAAGCTGGGACACTTGTAGAATGAGGCCATTTCATAGGCTGTTCAAGGGACACATCTATCTTGTGTATGTGGTATATACTTGCCTTGTCATCCATATGTGATAGGTGCAGGGTGCTTAGATTGATTGCAGTGGACAGATAGCACTCCTGCATGCGACTAGGGGAAAGTCAAAGGGACATAGGCTAAAGGACGGATTGGAGAAGCAAGAGATACAATCATATATAAATGTGGAACTGACAAAACAATGCAAGATGAGGGATGAGACAAGGTGCCATCCTATAATATGGCACTGTGTTGAATGTCAGATGCTTTGGGATGAGGGTATCAGCAATGGATAACAGGTGATATAAATGCATTCACGAACATGCTTATATACATGAACGAATCTGTAGTAAGTGTGAGATAATGGGAGCGGGTGAGTTTTCACTGCCTCACAGACTGAATACAGCTGCACATTTTGACAGTGGGCTACTCTAAGATAAAATAATTGTGCTGAAGGAAAGGCTCTCAGACTCTATGATCAAGAGGATGGTGTGTGTGTGTTGTCCATCAAGATGATGATGACCACTCTTTTTCATCAAGTATGAGTACGAAGATGACTGATAAGGCCGATGCCGGCCCGAAAAGTTCTTGGACAGTGAGGACAGGGAATGAGCGTTGTGCCAGGGAGGGATCTCCTGCAGTCGCCTTTCTGTTCATCCTTTTCTTAATAAGACTTGCTGTTCTGTTTGCTTCACATGTAGCCGCGCCCTTGTGTAGAGCTGCATGCCATGCATTTCTGTCTTGAGAGGCAGCCTCTCAATTAGTGTCATTCATCACAAATGCTTTGAGTGAAGACTTCAAGGTGTCCTTAAAGCATTTCTTTTGCCCGCCTTGGGAACGTTTCCCATTTTGCAGCTCATCACAGAAGAGTTTTTTGGGAGCCTGTGATCTGGCATGCGTGCCACATGACTAGCCCAAAGAATCTGATACTGCATCAGTAGAGTGTGGATGCTGGGCATGGCTGCTTTCTCAAGGACTACAGTATCAGGTACTTTGTCTTGCCATCTGATATGCATTAGTTTTCTAAGGCAGACTGTGTGAAAGTGGTTTAACTTTCTAGCCTGGTGCTGGTATACAGTCCATGTTTCGCATAAAGAGATGAAAGAGTGACTAGGATTAAAGTTAGGAAGAGTTGCGCAGTGTCGTCGACCTCACTCTCTCACCTAAGTCATATCTGGGTCCAATGGCAAGACAGAGTCAGAACGACTGGAGATATATCCAGGTGCAGTGGATGACCAGGGCATTCTACGTGCCTCGCCATGCTCTATGAGCTCCACAGCGCTTTGTTAATGTTGCCGCCTTGCCCGTTGAACCAAATATGGTTTCCTCCGTGCATTCTGCCGACAGTAGTCTTGTGGATGGTACAGTGTCATAAAGATAAAGGTGAGAGGATCGGCTTCATTGCACCCGGTTTTATCCCATATGGCTCAGTCTCTCTGCAGAATAGCTAGCTGCCTACCAAGAACATCGCACAGAGCATGAACTCTGTAGTGCCGGCAATGATCCCCAGGGATCTCGGTAAAAATTGCACACATTAACTGAGCAGTGCCTTCATGAAACAAACCCATGACATTCAGAGCACGAGTCAAATGGCTTGATCACTGAGTGTTTCACAACGCCCCACAGGGGGGCAATCTGATGTTAAGGGAGCGAAGTATGCTCTCCTGGGGTAGGGACTGCATATCTGCCAAGTTTCTAGGGGTGGATAATTATGCTTTACCCATATATACAAAAGTTCCCAAGTTGACCTTCTGGCGACTTATTGGGTTCCCTACCGAAGAATGTTTAACTAACACAGTTCTCATAGTCACATTGTACAACTAACACTGACAACCGTCAACAGCCAACCACATCAACAATACGGGAAGAATCCTCTCTATAATCGTGCATCAGTCTATTTATTGGGATGAAACACAGTATGATGATGAAGATGAATTGGTGATTACCCAGCTACTGTCCTTCTACTACCCCCAGATAATCATTGATCTGCCTCCAAGGTGGTGTCAACTGAAAGGGGAACACCTAGCCTTGATTTGACGTGAGTCCACAACATAAGTCACCTCTGGTCTATGGGCCCACTCCTTGGGTCACAGGTAGCCTTTCATAAACACCATGGTTATGTATCTACCTTACCTTGGGTCACCTATAACCGGCCATAATAATACACACCTCTGAGAGGCACTGACTGGCCACAGGCTAACTTTCAGCTCAGCAGCTAATCACATATGGGTCTTGCAAAACCTGTGCAGCCGCTGTCACTCACCAAACCTGAGAAACATTCGTCTTTAAATTTAACCATGTTGACCTTTTGCACTCGCCTCTGTCATCATCATCATCATCTAGCGCCTTACGACTGGTATAGGCGATCACACCTCTGCCTTTGGCACAATTGAACTGCAAAGTGAGTTTAGCACACAATTGGAAAATGGACTCAATAAGAGTTTAAGTTACATAGGGGGCATATTAATTTTAGAAAGGCTTAGCTGGGGTATGGCACCCACACAAAAAAGTTGAGAAACACTGGTGTAGAGGGAACAGAATATCCATACCTGGTCAGATTGATTACTGACTCAGTGGGAAGTAAGCTGAGGATTAACAGTACTATTATATTAATAACTGCTAAAAGGAAACTTGTTTCCGCTGGCGAGCAAAGTAAAAAAATTAAAATTAAATGTGAAAGTCTGCATAAAACTAAAAAAGCTGGCTATTCCCTGAATAACGGCCACATATTCTGGTAGCCAAAAACACACCCTGACAGGGCCTGATTAGGTCGTGTGTTGTAAACATTAAAAAACTTGAACTCGAAAATAATGAGGAACGAAAAATGGGAAAAATGACGAAATTGACTACTTAATAGTGGCACAGAAGTTGCAAACAGTGCCCGAAAATCTGCCCTTTGTGGCTGTAACGCCATTGAAACTCAGCTAAATATGATCGGTGCCGCATTGGTTACGCAGTTTTCACCGCCGAGGATAGGGGGCTAAACTAGATGGCTGGGACTCACAAGCAAATAAATATTAAATTGAAGGAAGTTGCAGGAGTAGCTCTCCCAGCCATCTAGTTTAGCACCCCATCCATAGCGCTGGGGATACGCTCGGCGGTGAGTTTAATTGGAAGAACATTATCACTAACCTGCGTCGGAGCGCGAGGTCTCCCCGCCATGTCGCTATTATCGTGTGTATTGTTGCGTTTCTCGAAATTGTCCATGGACAGTAATCCTAGTTTTGCCGCGTTGTGTTTGTCGGAGGAAGTCCGCAATTTACTTGTGATTGAGGTCCTGTTAGGTTGTGTTTTTGGCCGTCATAATATGTGGCCGTTAATATCAGAGGATAACGGTAACGCCGCTCATGGTGATAATATTATAATAATAAATATATAAACACGCTAACTATTTGTTGTTTTTGTTGAATGCAAATACCCGAGTATGTGGCGGTGGCGGCGTAGCAAGCTGAGGAGTAACGGCACCAGAAACAAACATAATAAATGAAATATTAACTAGCAGACGGATACAGTATACAGATTTTGAAAATCACTTTGAGCCTGATGAGTGGTGATGAATTTTAAATTTATTTCGCCGAACCACTTATTTAAATAACTAACTCACCTGCTCTGAAAAAATATGCCTGCTTTGCAAAGCATTGTTCCTCATCAGAATAAACACTTCAGTTAAGCTCCTTGTCGCCATTATGTAAAGCTGTCTTTTCCCCCTCAGCGACAAAATGTAAGCCCAATAGTTTCCACTAAAGAAGAAGAATTATGACACTTGTGTGTCCATTATCATGAAAGGACTGCTTTGTACCGCAAGCGACAAAATTAAAATGCATGGACAGATACGATACATGTTATCGATACGATAAAGAGTTCCTTTATAACTTTACTTCAATATCGATAAAGTTAATTCACAGAAAAATATTCGTGTGGTCCAATTATTCATTCTTGATGCAAAATCGCTTACAATGTAAACAAATTTTATTTTCAACTATACAATCATCATCATCTGTTTTAGTGTCAGACTTGTCTTTCCACTGAGTGTAGTGACTAGTAAGCCGGCCAGACCCTCTAGTTACACTCATATATAACCAGACATATAGCCAGATTGTGACCGGTACCACCAGTATTGGAACTCTGCGCTGGCTGCTGAAGATGAGTTGAGAGTCAAGAATTGACATCACAGCAGTCGGGGCATTCCCATGCGTTCTCCGTCCTCATCTTCAGCAGCAGCCAGCGAAGAGTTCCAATACTGACGGTACCGGTCACAATCTGGTTAAATGTCCGTCTTGCCTTTCCTTTGAGTGTAGTCAGCCGGCCATAATAATCTTTTTTTTTTCTCTACTGATTCCGTTGCTTGTTCCCAAGGAGCCTTGACCATATCTGCCCTGTCATGAATCAACTCACCACCCAGTGGCGCAGATCCAGCCAATCTGTCCCCCTGTCCATTAACCACTACGCCGGCATGGCCTGGAGAAAAGATCCAAAGTATGCTCACTACAGTGACCTTTCCAGTGAAGCTTGCCACTCTGCTCGAAGCATCCCTATCTTCGCCTTTTCAGCATACTTTCAGAGTCTGTTACAATTATGAAATGTGTGTGCATCTTGTTCTCTAGCCACCGAGAGCTGCAGTTACCGCCTCCACCTCCATTCTCTAGATGTTGTTGTGTCATATGCTAGGCTGTCTTGTACTAAAGATTCTCCATTGGCTTTCGCTACGAACCCCCAGGCACTTCTCTTTCCTCTCAGCACCGAACCATTTGTATAGATAATCAGATCCCCTGGGCGTGAATTGTCGTGAATCAACTGTTGGACTTCAACCTCCATAGCACCCGCTGGCCCCTCTCTGCACACCCAGCCCAATGTGATTATAATTCTACACAGGTCAGAGTTTCCGCTGGTACACTGACACACTCCTCTCCTCGCCCAATGCTCTACAGCATGCATCCTTGTCTTATTGTGTCTTCTGCTTGAGCCATCCACGATTTACCCCTTTTCAGCCTCTGACCCTTGCCTGCAGCCAAAGCTTCATACAGAGGGTTTGCCCTGTCTGCAGCTACTCTGAAGATGAGGACGGAGCATGCATGTGAATGCCCCGAGTGCTGTGATGTAAATTTTTTGACACAACTCATCAACATCTGTGGGTCCTTTGCAAAACGTCGCTATCATCGCGGTCTGTTTGAAAGAAACTCCTTCTCCCTCCAGCTCTCTCCCCAGCCCCCTGTCCTGTGCACTTTTATATCCAGAGTGTCGGTTATAGCCTGTGTCCATGTTCCTGTTGGTCGACCCCTGCCCCGCCTTTCTGATACCGTGCCATCTGTTATTATTGTTTCCAGTCCGCCGTTGCGCTTGCTTTGGCCAACATTTTTCAGCTCTTGAGACAAGATGCTGTTTATTAGGCAATCTTCCTGTTTTTCAGACCTTTCTTTTCTTCTTTGTCCATGATATCCTGAGAATCTTTCTATAGTATTTCGGCTCAAAAACCCCTACTTTATTCCTTAAATTAGGACTTGGAGATTGTCCACGACTCACATCAGCATGTTGTTACATGGAAGATGCGTGCCCTCAAAAGTTTTGATTTCCTTCCTGGTGCTTAATAATAGACCTTTAATGTTTAATCTTTGTGCTTGCTATGGCATCCGTCCTCCATTTGACTTACGTTGAACAGTCTCAATTACTGTTTATTTTGAAGTTTAGATGTTCAAAGTTTTTCAACTATACCATGTGTGTGTGTGTGTGTGTGTGTGTGTGTGTGTGTGTGTGTGTGTTTGTGTTTGGCTATTCGCACAGCGAAAACTATCACACCTACCCGTACTGGACTAAGGTTACTTGATAGGCTAATCGCGTTGTGGTGTTCCAATATAACTGTGCTTTATGGCTGTACGTGATTTGTACCTGTTTGATTCTCATCCTTGAGATGGTAATCCTACAGACTTCGATTCTGGAGCGGAAACATTTTTTTAAATTGGAAAAGTGATTAAAGAGGCAGGGGAAGATCAAAAGAGAAAATGTCTGACGGGAAAACATCATGCCACGGAGGTGCAGCATCATGTGCATCAGAAATGATGGAGACTAAAAGGGACAGATGGATGTGGGAAAACAACATGATGACCTACGAACTGAGAGGTTATGAGCTTCGTTTTATAGTTTTTCATATAGAATTGGTAATCATATTTGTAGTAGACATTATCATGTAGCAGGTCCTTTGCAGAACGTCGCTCTCATCACAGTCTGCCTGAAAGAAACTCGGTCTCTCGCCGGTTCTCCAGCTTCATGTACTTTCATACTTAAGGAGTCACTTATATCTTGTGTCCATCTTCGTGTTTGTCGGCCCCTGCCCCTCCTTCCTGGTACCATGCCATAGGTAATAATTTTTTTCCAATCCAACGTGGCGCTTGATATGACCAAAATATTTCAGCTTCCGAGAAAGGATGCTGTTTGCCAATCTTTCTTGATGTTCAGAACTTTTAAGATGTCAATATTTCTCCTCTTCTTTGTCCAAGATATTCTGAGAATTTTTCTATAGCATTTCAACTCAAAAGCCCATATTCTCTTTCTTAAGGACTAGTACGCATGTAGTAGACAGGGCTTTAAAAAAAATATGGGTGTACGAAACGATACGCAGAATCGATACCATTTATATTTGACTTTTTTCTTTTTCAACGCTACTGTAATATTATTAACGAAAAATATCATCACACAGGGGGACGACTTGGATTTGTGTGTATTATTACTAATAATACACACAAATCCAAGTCGTTCCCCTGTGTGATGTAATTTTTCGTTATTTGAAGCCACCACACTCTGGCTTTTGCCGGTAGCCCTGAATATCCACCAGTAGTACACTTGTCTAGAGTTACGTAAAGAAAACACAGTTCATAACGTGTAATTAATACAAAACTGTGGAGCTATTTATCCTCTACCAGATGTAGAGTTCTGGAGCTAATCATCATTTCTAGTACCATTTAGCAAACAGCCTGTCTATCTATCTATGTATCTGTCTATCTGTCTGTTTGTCTACTTGTCTATCGGTCGGTCGGTCGGTCTGTCTGTCTCACACACGCGCGCGCAATGTGGGCAGAGGAAAATTAATACGCGTCAAGTATTTGCATCAAAAAGATTCATTAAGAATTGGCGGTTGGCATCACGTGCCTACTAATTCTTTTTTTATATTCATTGCCCGAACATAAATGTTTCCACTTATACATTGAATGTTTGCGTGTAAGTGTGAGTGAACGTGTAAGTGTGAGTAAATGTGTGCAAGTAAGTGAATATGTGTGTGTATGTAATTAAAGAGTGAATGTGTGCGTGTAAGTGAATGTGTACGTAAAGGTGTGAGTGAATGTTTACGTATAAGTGTGAGTGAATGTGTGTGTATGTAAGTAAAGAGTAAATGTGTGCGTGTAAGTGAATGTGTACGTAAAAGTGTGAGTGAATGTTTACGTATAAGTGTGAGTGAATGTGTGTGTATGTAAGTAAAGAGTGAATGTGTGCGTGTAAGTGTGAGTGAATGTGTACGTAAAAGTGTGAGTGAATATGTACGTATAAGTGTGAGTAAATGTGTACGTATAAGTGTGAGTGAATGTGTACGTATAAGTGTGAGTGAATGTGTACGTAAAAGTGTGAGTGAATGTGTATGTATAAGTGTGAGTGAATGTGTACGTATAAGTTTGAGTGAATGTGTACGTATAAGTGTGAGTGAATGTGTACATATAAGTGTGAGTAAATGTGTACATATAAGTGTGGGAGAATGTGTACATATAAGTGTGAGAGAATGTGTACATTTAAGTGTGAGTGAGTTTGTAAGTATGAGTGTGAGTGAATGTGTACGTATAAGTGTGAGTGAATGTGTATGTCTAAGTGTGAGTGAATGTGTACGTGAACAGAGTTAATGTGCCGCTGGTATCAATAGCCATACGATCAAATGTCTTGCTTTCCCTACAAGTGTCGGCCTGACCCCCCTGCATCATTCTTTACGGACCATGATGATCTGTTTGTGCTTCTGCATTACTCCCTCACACCCGAAGGGCTTTGCCAACATTTAGCTTTACACGCATCACTTTACAACCCAGTGGTGCAGAAGCGGCTAATTTGTCTCACTGTTCTTTTCCCAACACACCTGCATATTTGTCGTGGAGTGAACAGCCAACCCTACACGATGGACGAGTCGTGACGCTGACTTCTCTAAGCGGGCAGTCACATTTCAAACTTAAACCCGTCCGGAGGGGTATATAGTCCCTTATATTGATATATACCTTTATCTGGTGAAATATTCATTTCTAGACCCTCTAGTTGCTTTGAGATATCTTCATTTTCAAACTTGCAACTGTGGGCTGAAGATTTCTGGTGTTTAATTCAGAAATTCCTGTAAGCCAGTTTACTCATTGGGCATGAATACAGGGACTTCTTTCCTGGAGACGCGAAGCTTAGTTTTGAGCGGCATTCTTTCGCCTGGTCTCCAAAGTGTCAAGACGTGTATACAGTCTATGAATAAAAGTGGCGCATACAAAGAACCAGTTCTATCTTTGAAGAATTCCTAAACTTGGGTAAGTTGATTATAGTTTACGAGTACCATAATATATGTCTGCAGAGAGGGAAGATTCAGCTGTGTGATCGCACAGAGTTGGGCCGTTCTTGATGTCCAGAGATCAGGCTCCGAACATTAAACCTTTCCCTGTACAGACTAAATAGTTTGTG